GAAGAAAGGAGTGGAATTTGTTTGAGAGGTTGTTGGAATCACGGGGAGATGGGAAACGGGGTACGGCAAAAATTTATAAGATTCTTACTGAGTTAGTCATGGAAGTAAAACCAATCTATATAGATAAATGGGAAAAAGACTTGGGGATAGAGATAGATGAGGAAAAACAGAGGAAAATATATAGACTTACACATGAAAATGTCAGTATGAGAGAGGTGGAGGTAAATTATAAATGTTTGGTAAGATGGCACATCACACCGAGTGTTGAACATAAAATAGATGTAGAAAGAACACAAGAGTGTTGGCAGGGATGTGGAAAGATGGGTACGTGGTTTCATATATGGTGGGAGTGTCCAAAGATCCAAAAGTACTGGGAGACAATGGTCAACTTAATAAGGAAAATTTCAGGGATAAAGATAGGACTGGACCCAGAAGTGTGCTTTTTACATAGTACAGAGATACCAGTGAATAAATATAAAGAGTGGGGTATATGGTACTATGTGAATGCAGCAAAGGGTTTAATACCCAAATTCTGGCATAGTCCAGAGGTGCCGAGAGAAAAGGACTGGGTAGAGAGCGTAAACCAGATTAGTAAGTTGGAGAAATTGTATTATATCCAAGAAGACAAGATGGAGATTTACAATAGGAGATGGAGGAAATGGGAAGATTTTGTACATCAAATGAATATATGTGAGGCAATGGTAAGTGATAAGTGAAGTTTCTTTTTGATTCTATAGGGAAGGATGTAAGAGAGAAATGCAGAGTGGGAGGGTGGTGGGACGTGGTAGGGAGTAGGGGTGGAGGGAAGGGAAATAAAAAGGGGGAAATAGAAGGAGATAAGAATTTTATATGATATATGAGATTGTTGAAGAAATGTATTGTTCTGCTCTTCTTTTCTTTTTCTCTTTTTGTATGTATTTATAAATATGAAAAATCAATAAATATTTGAATAAAAAAAAAAAAAAAATTCATTAGGTTAAGGTTAACTTTGGGCAATTTTACCTGTTACATGCTTAAAAGGATATATAGGTATAACCTAACAAGAACCTAATTGACCTATACGTCCACAACCATAGGAGAGGAAACAATGGACATCAAACATCCATCTAGACATAATAGACAGAGAGATCAGAAACTAATTTAATTTCAAAGAAAAAATCAAAAGGTGTTGAGTAATAAAAATTAACTTAAGCAATTTTACCTGTTGAAAATTGCAGAAAGATATAAAGGTATATTTTGTCTAAAGATCTAAAGATCTAATTGGCCTATAATGTCCAAAAAAGTTGAAGAATATAATGGGCAACAAATATCCATCTCGGTGTAACAGGATAAAGTTGGAAAATATAATCGGTATCAGCTATCCATCTAGGCATAACGGAATAAACATAGGGGAATCAAAAATGTATTTAATTCCAAAAAGGAATATAAGGAAAAGGTTATAAGTTATTGAAGGGTTAAGGTTAACTAAACCGATTTTAAATATTGCAATTCAAGTAGCAAGGACAATGTGGAGAAAAAAAGATTTTAAATTGAAGATCAATTTCCAATTCCACCACTAGGTGTCAGCAAAAGACATCAGTCCAGACGATATTCGCTGAAAAAACAATTCACTACTGTAAGAATGCATATACAGCATAATTGTCTGCTATATCTGAACAAAAAGTGTAAATATTTTGGTCTGTTGATAGATTCTCACCTCTCGCTGCACTTCTTTTATTACTCTGGCCTGTGTCTGGTCTGTGTTTGAGAAACATCCCCCCAATTCATGTGATCCTTATCAGTTCTTAATTGAGGCGGAGAAGAGTTGCTCATTTGACCATCTCCCTAAAAAATTTAGATCAGCTCATGGGGGGGAGGTCACAGATAGGGGGGCACAGTCACAGATGGAGTGCAGTTTTGTGCGTGAGTGCGGTTTTTGCAGGAGTGCGAATCAGCAGCAGTTGAATACAGCAGTTTAACTAAAGCAGGTTAACTCAAGCAGCAGGAAGATACAGCAAAGAACTCTACTGCACGCTGGATGGACTGCAAGCAAACACCCTGGGAAACATCTCCTACAAGTCTGATTCCCACTCCACCTACAGTATCTTTAAATATGCCGTCTCTACTCCTCCTTTTCATATTACTATCCTGCGTTCCCAAAATCTCCTTTCCTTACCCCTATGCTCCACCCCAAAGATTACACATCTCACCCTCACTGCTACCATCTCCCTACTACTGCTCTCATCACCTCCTGCTGATACTTCACTCTCCTGCTGACCCAAACAACAGGACTGGAAGGTATTTACACTCATGTACATCCTGCTCCCATGTTACTTTCTTCACCCCTGGGGATATCGCCCCAAACCCTGGTCCTCCAGTATCTCACCCCCACACCAGCTACCCTCTTTCCTCCAGGAATAGCCGCAATCCCCTCAATTTAATATCAATCACCATGCTCCAAAAAACCACCCTCCCTTTTTTATGTGCACTCTGGAATGCCCGCTCTGTCTGTAATAAGCTCACCTCTGTCCTTGACCTTTTTGTCTCCCGCTCCCTTAACCTACTAGTAATTACAGAAACCTGGTTTCAAGCAGCAGATTCTTCTTCTCCCGCAGCACTTTCCTATGGAGGCCTTCTCTGGACCCACTCACCCAGACCCAGTGGTTGGAAAGGAAGAGGGGTTGGTTTGCTTCTATCCCCACTGAGCACTTTTCAAATCCTCCCTAACCCTCCCTCTCTATGCTTCTCTTCTTTCGATACTGCTTTCGGCTGTTTTCTCCCATTTCTCTGAGGATTGCAGTGATCTATTGGCCTCCTGGACCGGTGTCACGCTTTCTTGTTGATTTCTCTGCCTGGCTACCCTACTTTCTCTCCTCTGAACTACCCACTATCATTCTTGGAGATTTTACAATCCCCATTAATGTCAACAACCCAGCTACATCCCAACTCTTCAACCTAACCTCTTCTTTTGCATTAGCACAATGTATACAGTCCTCCACTCACTCTGATGAGAATACATTAGACCTTGTTTTCTCCCATCTTTGCACTCCCTACAACCTCACAAACACCCCCTTTCCTCTCTCTGATCACAATCTCATCACCTTCACAGTGTCCTCATCTTCAAACACTTATCCCTCCAAGCAGCAAACAATTACCTGCAGAAACGTTCACAACTTGAACGCTGCTCCTTTCCACTCTGCAACTGACCAACTCTATGACCGAATCTCTCCCCTTTCCTGCCCTCACCTGACCACTACTGTCTACAACAGTTTGCTTTCATCCACACTAGACTCACTTGCTCCTCTAACAACACGAAGCATCAGGCCCCGACCATTACAACCTTGGCAGACAGACGACACCAGAAATCTTCTACGACATAGTCATGCGTTGGAGCAATTGTGGCGTAAAACCAAATCTCACCAAGCATTCACCCTATATAAATCTGCTTTCTTAACATACAATTCCTCCCTCCATGCTGCCAAACAAGCCTTCTTTGTCACTCTCATCAATAGCTTGTCATCCAGTCCTTGTCGTCTCTTCTCTACTTTTAACTCTCTACTTTCTCCACCTTCACCTCCACCCAGCACCTCACTCACTGCTCACGAGATTGCAAATCATTTCAAAAGCAAGATTGATGCAATCCGTAGGGGCATCGCCACTGCACAGGCATCCATCCCACTTAGCATACCTTATACTAAACCTCCCTCAACACTTTCCTCTTTTGACCTTGCTACTCCTGAAGAGGTCACTAAGGTTTTCTCAGAAGCCCGTCTCACTACCTGCCCCCTGGATCCTGTCCCCTCACAACTACTACGGTCACCCACTTCTTCCGTCCTATGCTCCCTCGCTCACATCTTTAATCTCTCCCTCTCTAACGGTGCCTTCCCCTCCCCTCTAAAGCATGCACACATCACTCCCATACTTAAAAAGCCCTCCCTGGACCCCACCAACCTGAACAACTTAAGACCCATCTCCCTGCTCCCATTTACCTCTAAACTCTTAGAATGCCTAGTCTACAATCGCCTGAGCTCCTACCTCACTGACAACAACTTTTTTGACCCTTTACAGTCTGGCTTTCGCTCACTCCACTCCACTGAAACTGCCCTATTAAAACTCACTAATGATCTACTAACTACTAAAACCAATGGCCACTACTCCGTACTCTTACTACTTGAACTCTCTACGGCTTTTGATACGGTTGACCAACCCCTCCTCCTCAAAAAACTCCACTCTCTTGGCCTCTGAGACTCTGCTCTCTCCTGGTTATCCTCCTATCTATCGCAGCGCTCCTTCAGCATTAATTATAACTCTGGCTCCTCCTCTTCACTCCCTCTTTCTGTAGGGGTCCCTCAAGGTTCCGTCCTTGGGCCCCTACTCTTCTCCATCTACACCTCCTCCCTTAGTCACTTGATAAACTCCCATGGCTTTTTTTTTAAAAAAAGAATATTTATTAAGTTTTAACAAGTTAAAACAATAGCAAAATGGTGAGGCAGTTATGACATCAATGTTACATCGTTTCTAATCAAAGATATATAATGGTGCGGCAAATAAAATAAATTGACCTTAGCGTGATGGTAGCAGTTAGGAAAGGGCATTGCTATAATACCAAAGTATCGAATTTGCGTTGGTGAATAGCGAAGAAAGTGATATGATGAAGTGGTAGATAAGAAATGTGTGTGTAGATAGGGTAAAAGTAATAGCCAGTGGGAATTATGCATTCCAGACTTGGTCCGATGTTGTGATTTGTCAGTAAATGATGTTGAATAGTTAAGGTGTACATAGATCAGGGCTTAAAATTTCAAGTCCTGAGCTACTAGCCAGGCCTTAGAGTTACTCGCCACCAACAAACACACACAAACAGAGACACCTGTACACACACACACAGACATGTATATACACACACACACAGAAACATGTACACACACGTACAGAGACACATGTACACACACACACACACACACACACACACACAGACACATCTATACACACACACATATAGACACATGTATACACAAAGATACATGTACATACACAGAAATACACACGCACAGACACATGTACATACAGACACATGTACATACAGTACATACACAACACATATACACACAGACACATGTCCGTACATACACACAAACACACACACATGTACACACAGACACATGTACACACACACACACATACATGTACATACACGCAGACACATGTACAGATACACACATGCACATACACGCAGACACATGTACAGATACTTACATGCACATACACACACCCCCCCATAAAAAGTTGCAGTACTTCGTTGTTGGCTCACAGATCTGGGTACTGCACTCTAGGGGGAGGCAGAGAGCACAGCACACACTCCTTTCTTTGCTTTCACTGCGCTCAGCTATTGAGCAGTCTGACGACTCCCAGTGCCAATGACAGATCCGGCCTGAGCTCCGACCATGCTTAGCAAGATGGCCCTGGGGGACACACTCGCCCCCACCATAATTTCCACGCGCCATTGGCGAGCAGGCGAGTGGAAATTTCAAGCCCTGACATAGATGTCATCTGATACCCACCGATAATATGTCCAAAAGAAGGTAAAGAGGGAGGAATTGTCTGAGAGTTTGGGGGTTGGGAGTAGGGGAAAATGATAAAGGGGAAGTAAAGTAGGAAGAGAGAAAGGAGAGGGGGGAGAATGTGAACAGAAGAGGTAATCAGCGTTGCTGAGGTCCTGGGAGAATGGTGATAAGATGGTATAGCAGCTGGAGTCAAGGAACATACAGAAGTAGGGAGAATTTTACCCAGGGGCCTAGGTAGAGTGAAGAGAGTTGGAAGGCTGAGGGGGAAGAAGAACAGGGAGAAGAAAATCTGTTATTAGTAGTTAGTAACTGGTGGCCAGCAGTTAGTGATCACCAGTCAATAACCACGGGTTCCACCATGCGTAATGCGTAATGTGGAGAAAGTGTCACCCTCCAATTGAATTGACTGAAGTAGGTCTATGTTGTAACAAAGATATTAATAGTGCCGCGCTCCTATTGCTATATAAAGTAGTTAAATTCAATCTATTCTCTTTCCAATGAATATATATATTGAAACCTCAGCAAAATCCATAAACCACTATACTTTAGTGGGTAAAAATAATATATAATCACTGTGACTGGTGAATCAAAAAAATAATTGTAAAAGAGCCTTAATAAATTAGGCTGATATCAATCAATTAATTGTGACTAATAAATAAATTAAAATTAGAGTGTGTATAAATACTTGGTGCCACTCATCAATCCATCAATATTGTGCAAAGACATATATTAATATTAATGTGCAAGTGCAAACATAATAATACATGAGTAAATAAAAAGTCTTTTGAAGTAAGTGCAATGTGCAGGTGAGTTCCTTAGTGTCGAGCGTGTATATAAGCCTAAGTCAAGTGAGTAAATAAATACTAAAAAGGTCAAGAAAAAGTTGAGGTGAGGATGAAGAGGGAGTGAATGAGAGAAGAAGAGAAGATCAGTAACAGTAAATCATTGTAAATTATTGCACATGACCAACTTAGTGGTTGAAACTAAGGTCAGTTAGTCAGCTAGATGGTAGTTCCGAGTCCACCGGCTTCGTGGGAGGGTTTCATTGGATGAGTTAGAAGTTTGGAATTGTGAGTAAAGAAGGCCTGCTCCTGTACGGATAGGGATCCTGTAATATAGGAGTTCCATTTTCAGAAATAATGGGATTCTTTTGAAGCAGTCGGGGAGGTGATTTGGTTGAGTCTGTCCAGCCATAGAAGAGAGTTGAGCTCTTGTTTGATGTCCGTCATAGTTGGAGGACAGTTGGAGACCCATTTTCAGAGAATGACCCGTCTTGCTATTAGTAGGCATGTTGATATCCAAGATTTGTTGTTTCTGAAGGAGGACGTTTGTGAGGAGAAGAGACCAATGACTGGCTGTTCCATAAAGCCGAAGAGTAGCAAAAGCTGGTGGATGGGTAGTCGGAATGTGGTGATGACGTATATGAAATTGACCACTTGTTTCCAAAATGTGGAAATAGCAGGGCAGAGCCAGAATCTATGTTGTATTGATGGTTTTTGAGTTCTGCATAAACGGCAGGTAGACAGTGCCGGGTCAGTTTTGGAGTAGAGACAGGGCATGTAGGCACGGTGTAGGATCTTCAGCTGTTGTTCATACCAGAATTCATTGTTATTGAAGGCACATGTGGAATTGAAGCCTGATAATAACTGGTCTGCTGTAAATGTGTTATTGAAATCTTTGACCCAGGATTTCACAGCATTGAGTGTCTCGAAAGGTTTGGCGTATAGAAAGTTCAGCGGTCTGTATATATTTGAGATGTTGTATTTTCGAGAGTTCGCCAAGACGTCAATAAATGTCGACTGAAATCTAATAGATTTAGTGGGTGCAATGGAGTTGACAAAGTTCCTTACTTGAAGTTTATAGAAGTGATGTGCTGGAAGTCCGTAGGTTTGTAGGACACTGTTAAGAAATTTTGGGGAACCGTAGAGGTGTCATATAGTTGGTATACCAACATTAGGTTTTGAACTCGCAAAGTGTCATAGGCATCATAGGATTGTGGAGGAGAGAAGGAAGGGTTATGGTGAATAGGAAGAAAACGTGAAAGCCACGGAGAGATCCCTAGTTTACGCCTGACTTCCCTCCATGCAATAAGGGTATCATGGATGAGGAGGTTATGTTTTAGGTGGGGTGGTAGAGAGTTGACATGGGAGTGTAATAAGGCTGAGAGATCATAGGGATGTGCTAGTGCAGATTCCAGGTGGTAATTGGAATAGGTGGAAGATTGGGTGAGCCAGTCGAGACCTATACGGAGCAGGCATGAAAGATTATAAATTCGAACGTTCGGAAGGTTGGAGCCTCCCTCGCATCTTGGTAGGAATAATTTAGCAAGTGCTATGTGGGGACGTTTGCCTTTCCATAGGAATGTTGATATTGCCCGATGTCGCTGTGTTTAAGGAGAAGAGGTATGGTTTGTAGTGGGTAGAGAAGTTTTGAGAAACTTACCATCTTAAAAAGGTGAGATCTGCCCAGGAGGGAAAGCGGTAAGTCCTTCCACATTTCCAGCTCTCCAATAATTTTGTCAATCGTGGGCGTATAATTTAACGTGTATAAGGATGAAGCTAGTTTCCCTATCTTTATGCCTAAATAGGTGATATATTTAGTAGTGATTTAAACGTTGAGTTTTGCGTCCATTCCGGGAGGCGGGAGTGGAATAATGGAAGCACCTCGCTTTTTGAGAAATTTATGCGGAGTCCTGAGCAAAGGTGGAAGGAGGAGAAAATATGTTGAATATACGATAGGTCGAGGGATGGGTGCGAGGTAAAGATTAAGATGTCGTCTGCAAACAAGGCAAGCCTCAGCTCATCCCTCGATGATAGGTCGAGGGAAGGGTGTGAGGTAAAGATTAAGATGTCATCTGCAAACAAGGCAAGCCTCAGATTGTTGCCCGACTGTGATGTCGTGGACGTCAGAGTGGAATAGAAGGAAACGTGCTAATGGTTCTAGGGCCAGGTTAAAAAGTAAAGGGGATAGAGGGCAACCCTGTCTAGTGCCCTTGTGGAGTTGAATAGGGTTGGATATGTGGCCTGTTGCTATAACTCGGGCTGTTGGGGATGAATACATGGTTTGAATCAGATGCAAAAAAAGGGCCTTCAAATCCAAACTTCCTTAATGCTAAGAAAAGCCATTCAAAATTCACGTTGTCAAAAGCCTTTTCGGCATCTAATGAGATTATTTCAGCGTCTTGGAGTGTGCCGTTAGAGGCTTGACTCAAGGCGGATATTACCTTCCGAATATTCAATGCTGCTGAACGTCCCTGCACAAAACCCGCTTGTGAAGGATGGATAAGAGTTGGTAGAATAGTTGCTAGGCGAGAAGCGATAATGTTTGACAGTAGTTTTGCGTCGAGATTCAGCAGGGATATTGGACGATACGATCCAGGTTCTGTCGGGTTTTTATCTTTTTTGGCAATTAATTTAATGTGAGCTTGGAATCCGGAGGGAAGGTAATCTCCTTCCGCCTGAATAGCTTGGAACACCGATTATAATGTAGGGTAAAGGGTTTCGGCCATGAGTTTGTAAAATTTGGCTGTATAGCCATCAGGGCCCGGGGCTTTACCGTTTGTGAGTGATTTAATAGCTAGCGAAACATCCACCTGAGTAATGGGAGCATTTAAGGCCTGGAGTGAGGTTAGGTCTAACTGTGGCAACAGGATGTGGTCTAGGAAGGAGGTGGCTTTAGTAGTGTCTAGGATCTGAGCCATATAGAGTTTGGTAGAAGTTTTCTAAAATGGAAATAATGTCTAGAGGATCATTTTTCAATGTTCCCTGTGCATCTCTCAGAGATGTAAAGAGAGTAGATGTGAATGGTTTTTTACATAGTCGTGCTAACAGCTTGACCGATTTGTTGCCGAATTTATGAAATTGCAGGTCGGTATGTGATTGATGTGTGGTCTCTTGAGCAGCTGCCCATGTATCAAAGTAGTGTTTGGCCTCTGACCATGCTTTCCTATTTTTGTGGGAATTTAAATCTGCTAGATCTTTCTGTGCTTGTCGTAGGCAAAGGCTTGCTATTGTGTAGTTTTGGAGAAGGTTTTTCTTGTAGGTGGAAGTGAACGCTATGATCTACCCCGAAGAACCGCCTTGCCTGTCTCCCAGAAGAGATTAGGGTTTGTTTGATGTTCTGCATTTGTTTCACAGAACTCACTCCAGGCAGTATTTAATACCCAGAGCAAGTCCTGATTGTTTGCTAGGAAAGAGGGGAAACACCAGGTGCGTGAGTGTTGGTTGTTATGCGTGTGTTGTATGGCTATGGAAATCGGGGAGTGGTCGGAGATCGCTATATCATGTATAGCGGAATCCTTGATATTTTGTAAAAGCATGTTGTTTACGAAGAAGTAATCTATTCTGGATAGGGTATGGTGTACGGGAGAGAAGGTGAATTCTCTTCCTTCTGGGTGTGTTTGCCGCCACACATCCGTGAGTTGTAATGCCTCTGTAAAGTTGTTCAGTAGTGTGTGTGTTGATGGGGAAGTGGAGCGAGATGGGCAATTTGGAATAAAAGGTTTTAGTTTATCTTCCCGCATGTTCATACATTGATTGAAGTCCCCTCCCAGCAACAATAGAAGGTGCATTAAATTCGACAATTTCGAGGACAGATCTTGGAAGAATGGTTACCAATACCAAAGGGGAGGAGTCTAATTTGGTGTGAACAGCGACATAACGTCCCTCCTCATCTGTGGTTATTGTTATAATGTCAGGTGTGAGCCGCTTGTGTATGAGGATGATTACACCTGCTTTGCCAGAGGGTGACGGCGACCCCAGCATTTGTCCCACCCATAATTTTTTCATACACGTAAAGTCCGAGTTAGGTTCCTACCAGTGGTAGCCTCTAGCGCTCCACAGACCGGAATCCCCCAGGGCGCGGAATCTAAGCCCCAACCTGCTTGTTCACCAGGGCCCCTGATGGTGGGGATGGACTTGGAGCAGGCGGAGACCAGGTCGCGGCCCCTGGGTTCACCCAGCTGCAGTAGAAGCACCGCTGGAGGTGTGT